AAAGTATGAGAAACCGTTATCGTGTTGTGGATTGATATCCAAATTTGTTGTTTACCTAGCAAGCCCAAAAAGGTTCTGTGTTGTCGGTTAGGTAGGACGTAGCCACTTAGACTATTCACCATGTTGTAGGAGATCTCCGAGTTGAAATGCGTGACGACGCATAAGTTGTTAATGAGTTGATTTGTTGTTGATATGAGTTGTACATACGTTGTTGTGTTGTTAAGTTGTGGCCTTAACCAGATCTTTTGGTGGTGCAAAAGCATTCCTAGTTCTTTTCGATCAAAGATTTAGGGATAACAACTCACAAGTAGTAATAGGGATTATAGAGGTAGATCTTAATCAATCTGTTTCCCTTATATATATTGCTCCAAATTTTACTATGAATCTTTCAGATTTCATACAAAATATAAATTTGGAAGTACAAACCAGAGGCTTTGGAGAAAACTTTGATGGTAACAATCTCCACCTTGACATCACCTTTATAGGAAGAATAAGTGATCAAATATCTCCTAGATATAGGATCAATACAAGTCCTTTGATTACTTCTTTAGGATCAAACGGAATACAATTCCTTCCTCCCCAGGTTTTTGAATCTAGGAGAAACCAAGGAATAGAATGGCAGACACACCTAAATTCTGGATCATCCAGGAGTGCCATCACAGCCCCACAGACTGCCATTATGACAAATAGAAGAAATAGTCTATCAATTAGATTTTCTGACTATGAAAACATCCAAACTCCAGACCCCGAAGAAGTAGTTGAAGAAGAAGAACAACCTTCTAGAAGGTCTTTTATGAATCTTTGGATTGGTGAATCATATGTTCACGAATCTTGGAAAACAACCAACACTCCAACAAAATCCCAACTCTCTCCTAAAATATTAGAAGCAGTAGAAAAATGGGAAAAGCAAAAACAAATCTTAAAAAAAATTTCTTTTCAAAACAATGAAAAAGAAACTATTTCGCAAAGTTATAAAAATGAAGATACTGATGATGAGGAAGATGACTTCATTTTCACACAAAAACTTTTATCACGAGTCAATAATGAAATTTGTGATGAAACCCTGAGTCCAGATCTAAAAGAAACCCTAGATCTAGATCTTACAAATTGGTACAATGATGAGATAAACCTCAAAGAAAAATTATGCCTTGATAAAACAGAAACACAATCAAAGATTTCTGATTCACAGTCTGAAATTTCTGAAACACAATCTTCAATAAAATCCTACAGAGGATTTATGGGAGATAATTATACAGGAAGTAGTAGTTTTCCTAGTCATATCCAACATTTTGATTATGATACAGAAAACTATAACTTAGGATTCATTCCTAGAGAACAAATTATTACTCCTTTCGATTACACCTTAGGAGATAATATAAAATCAAAAGGAAAGAGATTGCCTATCGAACCCAGTTTTGACATGTCTTCTCTTTTATTAAACATAGGAAAAGTTGATCCTCAGCTTTTACCAAATTATATTGAACAGTGGACTGCTGTTATAATAAGAAATTACAAAATCCATCATGAAAACCATGTTTCTAATGGTGAAGAAATGATTGCCAGAGCTGAAACATATCTCGGAGATATCGCTAAAGCATGCTGGGAATCTTTTAAAAAACAATATCCTGAACAAATTAAAACAAACCTAATTGACCCAGGACCTAATATCTACAACTTTTGTAGTATGATACAAAGAATCTTTACGACCCAGTCTGTAAATGATGGAAATGTAATTAGACAAAAAATTTACCTTGGTAACTTGGAAAGACTTTCTATTAGTTATTTTGGTAAAATAAAACAATTTACCCAAGATTACTTGATGTATGCCTCTATAGCTGGAGGTTTTACAGACAGGAATTTAGGAGAAAAATTGTTCCTCAAACTTCCCGGTAAGTTAGGACAAAAAATTAGGGATAGCTGGAATGATGATCAAATTGATCCAGTTATGAACAATTTGGCTGTACGAATTCAACACATTATGAAAGTAATGGAAGATACTTGTACAAACATAGCCATTAACAAACAAATAAAAATGGCAGATACTGATATCTGTAAACAGATATACACGCCACAACAGTATCATAAAGAAATAAGAAAATCTAGAAAATCTCGACAGAGATATGCCTCTCCTCCTATTAATAATAGGCTTAGAAAAAACAAACAACAAACTCGTAGGTATTCTATTAGAGCTTCTAATGCTAGAAAGCCTACCCTTAATAAAGATAAACATGTCAGAAAAATTAAAGACAACAAAACTTACACTAAACAATTAGAATGTTTTGCTTGTCACCAAACAGGACATTACTCTCGAGATTGCCCTAACAAAGCTAATATTTTCACAAGAGAAGCAGAATTGATAAAAAATTGTAGGATGAACCTCATTCCTATAGATGAGACTGTATCAACTGATTCAGAAATATATTCTGTAGTCAGTTGGTCCGATTACACTTCTGAGGAAGAAGATGTAATAAAAGATTATAAAATTATAAATGATTTCACTAAAAATGAATACAATCATTTATATCCTGGAATAAATGATAAGTACAATCACTATGGTGAAATTATAGATGATCTAGGATATAACCTGATGAATATATCAGATGACTACATAATCTGCGATCATGAAATCCAATTTTTTGCAGGTCCAGAACATGTTGAATGTCAATTCTGCAAAAGATTTTTACACATAACATTAAGGGCTCATTGCCCTATATGTTACAAAAAAATTTGTAAAATGTGTTTTGAAAGATTTTACAAAAAAGATTTCCTAAATCATCAACAAAACAATAATAAAACTGATCTAAAAAATGATCTTCTAAATAAACGAATATCTGTTTTAGAAACTCGACTAAATCATACCGAAAAAACAGTTGATTTTCTTTATGAAAATTTTGAAAATCAGAATAAAGTTATTAATGTTGAAGAAGGATCTTCAAGCGGACTAATGGCTTTACAAAACAAAGATTGCATACCAATAATTTGCAATAAAAATCCTAATACAAGTTTACATATTTTGGTAAAAATAACTTTTCCAAAAATTGATAAACATGAAAAAACAGAAATAGTAGTGCAAGCTCTAGTTGATACTGGAGCAACATTTACCTGTTTCTGTAAAAGTATTGTTCCTAATCACAATATTTTTACCAGTAAAAAGATAACGAAAACCAGAACAATGACTGGTGATCTTATCATTAATAATCATGAAACAAAAAATTTCACAATTCAACTTTCTACAAATTGTGATATTTTTGGACAAAAAATCTTTATGCCTAAAGCAGACATTGTGAATTTAATTCCTGCAGGCGAAAAAATGGTACTAGGCTTAGACTTCATAATTTCTGAAAGAAGGTCAGTTACCATCACAAAAGATTATTTGATTATTTCAAACAATACACAAATGTCACCCATAGTTGATGAATTAACATCAGAGTTGCGAACTAAGCGTGGTGATACCCCCAAAAAAAAACCTCTTCCAATTGTCCTTGCGAGATTACTGGAAGTTGTAAAATAAAAGAAGCAGATTTAAATAAATTCCAAAATTTAGAATCTGATTCTTTAGAAAATGATAATCATAATAATGACATTCATAGTTATTATGATTTACAAACTTAAAATGATGCCTCCTAATTCTTTTACATGGTTTTATTTTCTGACTCCTTTATACATTGTTTGATTTTTTATTTCTTTCTATTTTTGTTATTTTATTTTGTATTATATATTAGAAGGAAAAAGTTCTGATTAATCACTTTATACATATATTGTTCATTTATCTATGAATAATTGATTTGGAGATATTTTTGTGAAAGAGATTATTAGGAAAATCGATGGAACAAAATTGGTGTTTACAACTCTCTATGCTTCTTTCCAATCTCACACGTCTCACAAATACCATTAGGAATATTCACAATAGGCAAGCCAGAAACATATTCTTTTCTTGACAAATAATTTAATCCAGAGAAGTGAAAGTGTCCAAAGCGCATATGCCACAACCAATCATCATTGGGAATAATAGAACTCAAACAAGAAAACTTTTCATGACAAATCTTCAAAGGAAATAAGCGATTCGGGGTCATTTTTACCTTAGCTATAAATCTTCCACTTTTGTCTATCAACGTGCAGTATCCATGATGAATCTGCATGTTGTAACCTTTCTTTGATAGTTGTCCCATACTCAACAGGTTATGATGAAGACCAGAAGCATAGAAAACATCAGAGATGAAATTTTGAGAACCGTCCTTCAATCTAATTGCAACTCGACCTTTTCCCAAAATCGGAATGTTAGAATTATTTCCGAATTTCACAGTAGATTTTACTGTTTCATCTAGTGATAAGAATAACTCCTTTTTCCCACACATGTGGTTGCTGCAGCCAGTATCTAGGTACCAAATATCTACACCGCCTGAAAAATTATTTGCTACTAGAAGTAAGGTTTGTGGATTATCAGAACTCTCACCAGTATGCTTATATTGATTTTCTGCTATATTTGCTTGTTGTTTGAATCTACAATCTGCAGCTCTGTGCCCGAACTTTCCACAGTGGTAGCAATTGAAATTTGTCCTTATAAAAAAAAATGTCATATAGGGATCATAACCTTATAATGACACAATACTAATATGTAACATTTTTAATTATATTGAATGCAAGATAGAGGTTGATGAGAGTGAGGAAACAAGAAGGTGTTTGAAAGTGCAAAATGAAAATGTTAGCTGATATCTTTTATTTTTAAATATTTTTTTTTCTGTTATTATAATCAGATAATTTATCTGTTATAATTTTCTTATCTTTCCGTTGTTTCCCATAGTATAAATACACCTTTTTGTATTCATTCCAAGATAGATATATGAAGAACTCTTCTCAATTCTTTGAATTCATTCACTTTCTTTTCTCATACTTTCTTTGATTCTTTTACATGGTATCATGAGCGAGGTTGATCCTTTGACACAATCCCGTCTTCTTCTGCAATCCTTTTTCCGCTGATTCTTGGAATTATCTTGTTGATAATGGCGAAACCTGGAATAGATCCTGAAAGTCCTTACTACATGCATGCGAATGAAAGTCCTGGAGCAATTCTTGTCTCAGTCAAATTAAATGGAGAAAATTATCATCCATGGTCAAGATCTATGTACATGGCTCTGAAGTCCAAGAACAAGGAACAGTTCATTGATGGAACTATTATCAAGCCTCCAAAAGCAGACCCAATGTTTAAAGCCTGGGATCGATGCAATACAATGATATTGTCTTGGCTAACTCATTCTTTAGAACCAGAAATTACAGAGAGTGTTTTATGGATTGACAATGCATTAGATGTGTGGAAAGATCTTCAAGATAGGTATTATCAAGGTGATATGTTTAGAATAAGTGATTTGCAAGAAACGATTTATATGCTTAAGCAAGGAGATCTAACAATAACTGCATATTACACTCAATTGAAGACACTTTGGCAGGAATTAGATAATTTTCGTCCCATACCAACATGTAAATGTGCAGTAGCTTGTAATTGTGATTTGTTATCCATTGTAAGATCTTATAGAGAAAATGACTACGTGATTAGATTCCTAAAAGGATTGAATGAGCAGTATTCATCTGTTAGATCTAATATCATGCTCATGGAGCCTCTACCTAACATTACTAAGGTATTTTCTCTATTGATTCAACAAGAAAGACAATTCAATTCTGTAATTGATGACAGCAAAGCTCTAGCCGTTATTGATCAACAAGGCTTTCGGGGAAGACCTCCCAACAGAGGAGGAAGAGCTGGCAGATTTATTAGAGGAGGAAGAGGTCATAATAGTAAGGTTTGTACCTACTGCAACAAACTTGGCCATACAATTGAAACATGTTACTGGGGGATTCGGCCAACAAACTCCCACAGATAATCAATCTATGGCAGGCTCTTCAGATATTCTAGTAACCGAAGAAGAAGATGAAGAAGTCATGCTTTCTAAATAAAAAAGGTGACTAGATGACGCACCTGCTTACGTCGCCTTTGCCAATAAAGGGATAAGGATAGACCAACCTTATCAACAAATGTAATTATTACCCTGTGACAGAGTAAAAGAATAGTTGTTACTGTTCTTGACTGAAGGGGTAGTTTAGTCTTTTAGTTTATTTCTAGTCTATAAAAGAAAGGCTTCCTCTCATTGTAAGGTGTGCGAAGAAAAATAGAGTAAGAAACTAGTGAGAGAAGCTATTTGCTGAAGTTGTCCTTCTTTCTCCTTTGTAATTCTCTACTATCAATAAAATTTGTAAGTATTTCTATAAGATGATGGCTGGCTAAAACCATCCTTGGTAGGTCTTTGGATGCCTTTGTTATTTTTTTTAAAATATGGGAATGTGATTTAGAACTCTGAACTCTTTTGTGAAAACCTGGGATTTGTAAGCCTGAGAAATCAGGTGTGCCCTTGATATCTGTTTGAAAAGAAGAAGAAAATTTTTTTTTGTCTGGAGGCTAATCTGAGACAGTTATAAGACCCTTGGAGTGGGCTGTTGGTAAGACCTCTAAGATCCCAGAAGATCCAGAAAATTTTTTTTTTCTCTTCTTTCAAAATATAATATAATCTCAAATTCACGCATAAATGAGTTCTGGTTGTTCATCATATTCTATATTATGTTAAAAATTATAACTTATCGTGTATTTCTAAGAGCTATCATATGTCTCATATTGTCTTCCGCTTCCCTACTCTGTTATCTTTAGATATTTGTTTCTAAAACTCCTAACTTAACTTTGATGGTAACAATCTCCACCTTGACATCACCTTTATAGGAAGAATAAGTGATCAAATATCTCCTAGATATAGGATCAATACAAGTCCTTTGATTACTTCTTTAGGATCAAACGGAATACAATTCCTTCCTCCTCAGGTTTTTGAATCTAGGAGAAACCAAGGAATAGAATGGCAGACACACCTAAATTCTGGATCATCCAGGAGTGCCATCACAGCCCCACAGACTGCCATTATGACAAATAGAATAAAAATAAAAAAAATAAAATAAAATAAAAGAGGCACACCTCTTTTATTTCCTAAATTTTCTCAGATACCAGCTTTTCAGAGCTATATTTTATTAGAAGACAATGATTCGTAATTAATATATAAAAATTAATGGTTGTTTATGTTTAAGATATTAGAGAAAGCTTTCAACCTAATCTGATGTTCTGAAACATATCGTCAATTCCTTACTTGCCATAATGATTTGACAATGCCACAACGGTGCAACAATTGTGATTTCTGCTGCTTGCTTTATTATAATTGAAATTGCAAAAATTAGCATGCAGATGGATGTTGCTGCAATGTCGAGCCAGTAATTCCACTCTTTTGTTTGGATTGTGTCACATCCACACCACAAATGCAATACTCTTCACCACCTTCTCCTGATTCTGTAGGCCACCACCATGATAACTAAAAGAAAAGCTTGAAAAAAGGCATAGGAATACAATGGAAAGAGGGTCAGGGAAAAGAATAATGTTACGACTCTATTGAGTAAATACGACACTTAAGTTAAAGTTCCCCTACCAAATAAACTAGTGTTTTAGATCACACTCTTCTCTAATACATAAGTCATAACAAAGAAGAGAGATGATTATTCTACCTGTGAAGTGGGGACAGGGGAGAATCAAAAAAAAAGAAAGAAAAAAAAACAGACCAAAACGCTTAATAGTTAAGACCCTCTTTTTAATGGGAGCAACCTTGTCGTTGGCTTTGTCATTCAGTTACATCAACAATCTAAGAATCTTTCTACTTTCAGGTGACAAGACAGCTAGATATTTGAGGAGGTTCTATAACTGTAGCTGCTGTAACATTTCACCAAACATATAGATGGAAAATTTTCCGACTGGTTGATTGGTTGAACCAATTTTTATTGTCTTACATACTTTGCACCAAGTGACACTTGCTGATGAGTTTCAGTTACGTGGCTATGATTGATAGTGGACCATTGATACACACACACTAAATAAGTCAATTCACTTTCCTTTTCCTTCTGAGTTAGCATTCACATTGTGTTTTCTAATAAATTAAGCACGAGAATTTAGTAATTGATTAGCACTTGATGTCCATGTTCTGAATGTTATGCATAATGTTTTGTTATCTTTGGTTCTATCTTTTTAATGAAGTAAAAATGCTACCTAAGCATTTAAATAAAAACTAATATGCATCACAGACATAAAACCTAATATGCATCACAGACATAAGGTTTATTCAAATGCTTCGACTTGGAAATCATCCTTATGAGCAGGAAAATGCTATATCATATATGGTGAGTTTAAAATTTGGCTAAAAAAATCAATTATGGGGTTATATATATTATAGCCAGAGCAATTTATTTGCATAATTTGTATAAGCAAATGTGTAATGAAAAGAATGCCTGTGAATCTATATCAGGAATGTGCAGTGAAATGATTAGATTGAACACACTGATTTTGAAGATTGTCAAAGTACTTGTGATTCTGTGTAACTAACTGCAAAGATGAAGCCAAGCACATGAAACCATATTTACGTTTGCAGAGGCTAGTTTACTTTACACAGTAGATGGGACCTCCCTGCATATATGCATGTTCTGCTCTTTTCAAATTTAGTTTTGCCACTTTGTGCCATTGTATGGAATTCAAACAAATTACCCATGTGAGCTCTTTGGTCGCTTATGCTTAATATTTGGGACCACTTTCATGTGCCAACTTGCAGCGATATAGCTCACTCCTTTTTCTATCTTGAGAATCCGAAATTGGCTACACATACAGCTTAAGCTTTTCTCTTTGTCACTTGTGGTCATCAAATTTTGGGTACAATGGTTCTTAACTTAACAAAAGCCAAACTACACTTGTGCAAGTTACGTAGTCATTTCTTACTCCTTGAGCATTTTAACTAGTTTAAACGTGTAAGAGTTCTCTCTTTTCCTTCCAAAATACAAGTGCTGGGGGTAAGGTATATGCAGACACGAAATTAAATAGCATTACATACTCAATAACCCAGGAAAAAGCTTGTTATATTAATATATCTGTTCATATTTTTTGTTTATTTGAAGCTGCAGGTTGCAGTGTTGTATACTAGTGACAGTGTCTGATAATAATCAAAACAATCTTTACACCATTTCAATCTTAACTCTAGTGGCATATTAGTAGAGCCTTTCAGCGTAGCATGTATAAGGTCTGTCTTAGCTCTTATTAGAAAAGTTAATCTTTGAATTGTTAAAAAGATTTGAAGGAAAAAAATCAGGCTTTAGGCATTAAAAAAGCCCATTAAGTTTAGTAAGTTGACCTATTTAGCATACATATAATAAATATTGTATTATGTTATATTATACATACATAATTATAGATAATACATATACATACATATTAAACATAATAATACAAAATTTGTATAATTACTGATAGACCTACTTATTCCAACAAACCTGTTAACTTTTTCATAAGTCTTATTACAAAATAAACTTTTAACTTTTTCATAAGTCTTATTACAAAATAAACTTTTAAATAAGCTTTTAAGTCCAGACAAATTTTTGATGCAAATAATGCTTTCAAAAAGTCCTAAAATTGATAAGCAAGTCAAGCTAAGACTTTATCATTATAATGAAAGTTATGCTTAGTCTTATCACTTGTTTTCACTCCAAATTTTTACCTATAAGTTTGGGTACAAGGTTAAGCTTGTGCTTGTTACATAGTCATTTCCTTGTGATAAAGTATGTGCATGCATGGAATTAGCTAGCATTACATACACAATAAGCCAGGTGCGACAAGTCAACAATTCAATAATTTTGACAATGACTTTGGTGGCACCAGGATAGAGTATCCGGAACAAAAATGGCTGGTTGATATAGAGAATCAGTGAATAAGCCATACCTTTCGGAATAGTAAAAATACCAAAATGAAACACAGCAAATAGGCTTCTTATTAGTAATTGAATGACAACAAAGCAAATGCAAAATTTTTGCACCTTTCAGCACAGGCACTCACAACTGCTAGCATTGGAAGGGGAATGGTGGAAGTAATAAGGAATAGAAGTTCTCTTGGCAGTGACTTCAGACTAATGTCTACTAGAACTCAAAATTACATTATGCTATAATTCATTATTGACTATGATATATCATCTATGACAAACACATCTGTAGTGGTATGGGCTATTAATTGGGTCATTTCCCTCTACAGGCACTTGCTCAGCCCTGCATCTATACTTGCAACCTCTACACTCATTGTACGTACAAGTTGGTGCTGTGGATCCAATCATCAATCTCCTAGAATTCCTCATTTTCCATGCCTCATTGCCATCCTGAGATTCCACAAATTCAATGCATAAATTCAAGGGCAAATGGAAATTCTACCACCAAATTCAAATGTGATTGGCTCACCTCCAAACTTGGTTCTATGTGGGATACCAATTCCCCTGTTTTAATTCCTGCAACAATAGAGTGATAAATTTAGGAATTGGGACACACATAAAATACATTCTCTAGAAATCAATTAATGGCAATAAAATCCATCAACAATAAAGAAACTGAGCCTGGATTATTCCTCTGCAATTTTGAACGCAAATACACAAAAGGGTAGCACCTGGCAAACTGACAAAACTGAAAAGTGGTTTTTCTTTAAAATCCTGGGAATACTAATACTCTACATGAAGAAAACCATTAATTGAAGAACTCCACAATGACAGAATTGAAAGTAGGATATAGTATAATAATAATATGAAGAAGAAGAAGAACCAAAATCAAAAGAGGAGAGAGAATAGAAGAAAGAAAGCATGTGGTGAGAATTCAATGAAACTGATAAGAAATGAAAATTTAAAAGTAGGAGAGTTTGACATGACTATGACCTTGCGTAACTTTAGCTGCAAGAATTAAGGTGAAGAGTAGGAAGAGTACTTGGGTTAGTTTGGTGTCTCCCATTCTCCCCTTTTTTGTGGTGAAATGAGTGTTGGAGGTGGAATAATATTTAAGGGATAAATATGAGTTTGTGTAAAGATATAAAGAAGGAAGGTGAAGGAGAGAGATAACGGTGTTGTGGTGAATTAATGACCATAAGAGATAGACTGGCACAATGTGCAGTGAGACAGACAGAGGAGCATGATCAAGAGGTACAGAATACTACCCATAGTGGCTAACTCATGGTGGAATTCTAGACCCGACCAGAATTACAAGAGTGCCCATATCCTAGTTAACTTGGCCATAGTGAAGAAAGTGATTGGTTTGACCTTTTGCCTAGGCAAAAGTGGTGTTTCCATGCAAAGAATCATTTGGAATGCCCACAGCAATGTAAAGACATGTCAACTACCAAAACGTGCATCCAGGGTTCTCTCTTTTGGATGCGCCTTCAGATTCCACTGGAAAGATCTTAATTAAATGTACAAAATCATATGGACGACAATTCTTTCAAAGTATCATTTAATGTGGTCGATGGGGTGTAAGTTTAATGTTGTCATATTTTAAACATTAAAATCAGTGCCCAATTCTCAATAAACCAACACTCATTAATTAAGGTTTTTGAAATGTTTGCTTAGGAAATGATGTTTCTGAATTTTATGTTGTTATATCTTAATTTTGTACTACTAGTTATCGGAAATTTCAAGAAACTTCCAACTTTTTACTACTTACGGTAAAAGAGCCAAGTACATTTTGGAGACCCAAAGCTTTCCCAACTGAAATTACAGCCTAAAATGATCCCTTGGACTATGTTAAAAAAGACAAAAGAATCAACTCATTTTCAATCTCTTTTCACCCTTGACCAAAGCTTCTGTTTTTGTGGATAACTTCTCCAATATCACCACACCCCTCCTGTTCATCTGACTCAAGCTTTAGCAACCATGCTACATCATCGAAGTCCGTGACAAAGAATTCTTTTTTTGTTTCTATTGTTTAATTAAGCTTCTCCCATTCTAAAATAAGAATTATGTACAGTAACTTGGTTTGACAATAACTGTGTTGGGAGAGGGAAAAACCTATTCTCTACATTTCGAAAAGAATTAGATTTCCACTAGAGGATTTCATTAATGCAAAAAAAAAATGTATAACAATGAACTGTACACAAAGAGAAAGGAAAAAATATAAGATGTAATGGAAAGAATAAAAGAGAAAAGGTGCTGTCATATAAATTGTATTAAAACATAACTAAAATTTTCATCTTGTATACAACCACTCACATTTTAAAGAGATTTTAACAAAAATTATTTAACTAACATTCTTAGATGTGACATTAACATCTCTTAATCATTTGAAAAGAATTATATTGTAGTTCATGTAAAAGAAGTTACTGTAAACATTAAAATAAAAAACAAAACAAAACAACAAAAACAAACAAACAAACAGCAGATCAATGTAATTTAACAAAAAGTTTAAGAAGTCTTAGTGGAATTTACTCAAAAAAAATTTCTTGTAAAATTTAATAATTAATTTTATGAATAAATAATTTAAGTAAGCTATAACTCATAACCACATTTATATATAAGTATTTAATTAAGTTTTTTCACTTAAATATGTCAATTAAATAAACTTTAATCATTAGGGCTGACTTACTAATAAAACTAATAAAAGGCTGGAATAGTATGTCTAAATTCTCGATTCAAATTCTAATAATGTCGTAATTTAAATATATATATATATATATATATATATATATAAATGGATCTTTTAACTTTACTAAAGGAAAATTATGGTAATTTAATATATTTAAATTGTTGAATTTATAATAATAAATTAAATTGTGATATGTGTATATTTAAATTAAAATATATATTATATACGTGTTATAATTTAATTTATTTTTATAAATTTAATAATTTAAATATATTAAGTTATTGTAATTTTTATATCTCAAAATTATAAAGTTAAATAAATTTTTATAGAAGTTTAAATCTAATTTATATGCTAAATAAAGTGAAAATTTGCTGAGCAAATAGTAACTCACCTCACTTATTCCATAGTTAAATTAATAGTGTGTTTGGATGAGGAATTTTAAAAATTCAAGAAATTTTAAATTCTTGGTATTTGAATTACTTTGATTTCAATTTCTATCATTCTTTAAATATTTTGTTTGGATGAGTCAATTCAAATTTCTTAAATTTTAAATTGTTAGGTTGAATATGATAATTTGATTCTATCATAGTAAAATTGATTTTAAAAATATATTTATATGTTGAGATTTTTAAATTAAATTTTATAAAAATAAATATTAATCCTTTTTTAAATATTTAATAATTTTAAAAATTAATATTAGATAATATTTAATAATTTTAAAAATTAATATAAGATAATATTTAATAATTTTAAAAATATTTTTGAATATCCAATAATTAAAAGAATGAAGAGATAAGATAAAATATATAGGTGAAATAAGAAAAACAAATATGAGGAATTTCAAATTCTCCCACTTTTGGGAGAATTTGAAATTATACTATTTTAAGGAATTTCCAAACAAAGCATTTCACCTCAAAGAATTTGAAATTCTTCAAATAAATGAATTACCCTATATAAATTCCTCATCCAAACACACGATAAGGCTTCTGTAACAACCCTGAATTATAAGCATACTTTTCCGGTAGCAGTGTTGAGACAGATGGTGAAAATATCTCAAGCATTATTGACGATAGGACAAAAGGCATCCATCTTGGAAGAGGAGAACCGGGTAAACAAATAATGTCAGGGAAATAAATTGAGCAAAAGAGTAAGAAGTCTATCTTTTATATTGAATATAGAAAAGGAATGATTAAATTTTAGTTTTAAATCAATTATTATATTATATTATATTCAATTATTAATTAATATTTTAACAGGTGTAATACATAAATGTTTATTATATATAACCAAAATTTATAATAAATTATATATAAAAATAAATACATATATAGAAAAATATATAAATAAATATTATATTTAAATATATAAATTATATTTAAAATTTATATAAATATATAAATTATTCTTTTAGACTTATAATAAATAATTTATATTACAATAACAAATTATTTTTATTTAACCCCAAACGTGTAATTTAGCGGTAGGGGTTGATCCCACTGTTTAAAAAATCGGACCGAACCGGCCGGGCGGACCGGTTGGACCGGGAATCGGTGGTCCAGTCGGTCCGAACCTTAAGTTGGATCGGTTATGCAGTCGACCCGTTTCAAACCGGATTGAACCGGTCAATTTTCCGGTTCAACCGGTGAATCGGTGGGTCAAACCGGTTCAACCACTTTTTTTTTTTTATAATTTTTTTAAGGGACCATAAACCACAAAAATAATAATGAAAATTGAATCTCTTAATGGAAGAACAAAGATTCTTATTAAATATAACAACGACTACTTATTCTAATGTATTTGTTTATATAATATACAACTTAAATAACTTTTATAGTATATTATTAATTTTATATTATATATTTAATAATATAATATATATGTGGATATTACATATATTATTTTGTGATATCAATTGCAAGCATATTATATATGTACATATTATTTATATTTTTAATTTGTATTAATATACCGTTTAACATGTAATTTTTTTATGTATTTTTTTACAAAATAAAAATAAAAATAATTTTAAATAAGATAGAAAAATTGAAATTTAAAATAAGATATGAATTTATTAAAATTTATAAGTATAAAATATATTTAATATGAATAATTTTTTAATAAAAATAAATAAAAACCGAGTCATGCGGTTCAACTAGTGACCCACTGGTTCAACCTTTGACCCACTGACCCAGTACCTTAACCGGTTCGATGACCGGTCCGGTTTTTAAAACTATGGTTGATCCACGCTTAAGCAAGGTCAGGAAGTTTGAATCTTACCTTGTGTATGCAGCCGTGTTAAATTTTTTGGATAAGCTATCTCACCCTTTGAGGTGCTTTCAAGAGGAAATTAATCACTGCTATCGACCCTGGATACTCCAGAGACGAACAAAAAAAAAATATTTTTATTTATTGATAATTTATTTAAAATATTAAAATTTAATATATAAATAATTAAGATAAATATTGAATAGAAGTTAAAATAATTCCTAAAAGTTTACTCATAAAAAAAATTAAAAAAATATTTTTGTATAAGATAATTATTTGTATTTAAGGTTGATATAATAAATCAATTTTAAATGAGATTTATAACTAATCTCGTTTTTATATTTTACATTTTACAATCAAAGAATAGAATAGGAATTGTATTAAAATTTCAATTCTACACATTAATTCTTTGTAAACCTAAAACATAAAATTTAAAACTATTTCATTAATGATAAATTGAACATTAAATTAAATTTCTATACTATAACTTATGTATTGTATCTACATTTTCAAATCTAAATAAATCTTAAAAGAAATCATACAAGATAAAAAGATCACCGTCATTACACAAAGATCAAATTACGTATTAAAAAGAAGAAAAAAAAATTGGAGAAGTAGAATGACAAAACTTACAAGCAGTTAATTATTTACAATCGGTATTCTTTAATTAGAATTAAGGCTTTATCTTATAATATCAAATATATATTATTAAAACCTATATTAAATATAAAATGTATATTATTGAAATCTCTTTTTTTTCATTAAAGAATACCAACTTAGAAATGTCAATAAAGCGTGATGAATAGTAACTTTTAATCACCCCATTTAATACAGGTATGTTTGAAATTTTTATATATTTATGAATATCTATAGATATTTGAGAAAATATAAAATTTTAAATAAAAAGGTAAAAAATAAATTAAAATTAAAATTAAATAATTTTAAATCATATTTATATCAAAAACAATTTTGTAACTTATATTTATATTAAAATAAAATTATGACATGTATATTTAGTGTAAAATAAATTAAATTAAATTATTTTATATATAATTAAAAATATTTTTAATATTTTAAAGTGTGTATGTCTATTGATACAAGTACCTTATTATTTATGTCTCTCTCATTATTAAGCGAAATCTATAATGAATCTTATCTTCAGATATTCATAAGTATAAATTTTTGTCATCCCTTACCATATTTGAAAAATTACACTTAAGTTTTATCTAAAATAAAAATATATTCATCTATACTATTAATAAAAATAATGTATTTTTGTTATGTACACTATTTGGCGACCATTTTATCTATATAATTATCTAATATTACTTGCACTCATCTTTAATCACTCTTTAATATTTAACTTCGATTACGTTTTATTATT